AGGCATACTTCCTTACTTTACAGTAAATTTCTGACAATTACATATAATGGTTTATGGCCAATACACTTGAGAATCTGTATATAAATCATATTGGAATGAACATGTTTAAAGAAATATAGCAATTCCAAATTTTCAAAAGGTAATTTTTTTCTTCATTGCGAGCAAAACACAAATCTCTTAATTATTTTCACTATTTTTATGGTTTAAGTTAGGTTAAGTGATTAAGAATCTCATTTCCTTTAGGCTCTAGCTTGTAAATGATTTTTTTTATCAATTTCTGGAAACTTTGCTACTTTTCTAGTGACAGTCTAAAAAGTTTAAAGTCTGAACAAAATGTGGTGAAGTAGGGGATATCCTGTCCCCTGTTCAGTAGTTACTACTTAACACTTTATATTAAGATGTAGACCTATTTTCATCACTTGTAATCTTTGGAACAGGATAACAGTATCTTTTCCCTACAGATATCCAGTGCAAAAAATAGAGTTCAACTGGCTATCTAAGTCTTTAGTTTTGTTTTTCAAACTGGTCACGAAATAAGACTTATGACAACTAAAACTCTTAACACTTCTGAGAAATTTCTTCAGTATATAGCATTTTGACCATAGTCGAGTGGCAAAAAAGTGTGAAAAGTTTTAAACCAAATCGACCAGAAAATGCATCAACCTGGCGAAGAGAGAATAACAGTGGTAGAGATTTAACAACAAATCAAATGAAATAATATCAACAGAAGTGAGTCATTTCATGGATCATTAAGTAGAAAACATCAACTGAGGAATAAGCAGTCTGTATACAGAATGATTGGAAACGGCATATGAAAATGATAGAAATTGTTTGTGGAAGCTTGGATTTAGGACAGCGTGAAACAATGATGGACAGAGATCCAGACTTTACGGTTGTTTCGATGATTCATTATTTAGTTTCATAATTAGTGTGAATAAGATCCGTCAGGTGGAAAGAAATTCCTGAATTTTATTGACATTGAATTTCAGGACTCTTTGTGACTTTTCCATGAATATTTGTTTTTTGAATTTAATATCAATTAAGTTCACATTTGACAATTAATTCTCAACACTGTTTTGTTTTTGTGCACTGGTAAATACTGTTTACCTATTTAGTTTTCTATTATTATGAGAGGATGAAATAAAATTGCCCTAAAAAATAGATTCCCTGGTTATTATCATGAAGTTCAGTTTAGTAATTCGATTTACATTATGGGAAATGGAAAAACTTGTGAAGGTTGAATCAGAAGGTTTAGATGGTTCAAACTGGTGTTAACTCACAACTGTTGTTTCCTTAATAAAAGACAACTGAATAAATTAGATCCAATCAGATATAGAAATCTAATTTACACCATTGGTGGGAAAACATTTGAACATAAGGGTTACATTTGTTGCTATTGAAATATAGAAGATGATACATTGAAACAGGAAAGAATGAGAAAAAAGAAGGCACTAAGATAACAGCTGATAGGTCTAGTCCTACTTGACAAATGATTTAACTCGTAAGGAATCTTGAAATAAGTACACAGCAACAAAGAAAAGCTTGCCATCAAAAGAAAAATCTAACTGTCAATTAATAGCTTAAACCAATAGGAATTGTTCTACAAGTATGATTATATTTGCTTAGTGCTTTAGACTTGATATTAAGTCAACAGCATACTTCCTCACCCTCAGTCCATGGCAGTTCGTGTCTTTCTAGTCGTGCTCTGTTCTATCACAGTGCCTGGTTCATGCTGTTTCCTCGGGGATAGCTTAAGGACTGGTGGTTGTCAGACCCTGGTGTGTATCGACAAACAAAGCTTGATATATGTCTATCATTTTGATGAACAGGGTCAAAGAATCCTCTCAATGGAATATACTAAAATTGAAGAAATAGATAGTGCTCAGACATTTTTTTTTTCCAATTTACCTTTAGATTTGATGAATTATTACTTCTGTATTTTCATACTTGTGGTTTGTTTTATGGGAAATTTAATTGAAATATAATTTTAGACTATTCACAAGGGAAATCATGTAAAAAGTTATTCGGGACTTGAATCCCCTGACAATAAATAGGTGCAATATAATTCAGTAATAAGATAATTGAAAAAGAAAGGATACATACTTCCAAAGTCAAACTAATACATTTTGCAATAAGTGAAATATATTTCATTTTAACTTTTAATTACTTTTTGGTATCAAAAAGCAATTTGGACCATATTGGAAATCCTGTTTAAAAAAAAAAAAAAAAAAAGCTATTGGACACCTATCATCCCTGTATTAACTGTCTTAATCCGAAACCACTCATCCATAACAATCCCCTTATTTCCATCAATTAACCCTATCCATCAAACCATCAAAAACACTGATAGACTGCCAGACTTCCCTGGGCCAAATTACCTTCAGCATACAACTACTGTTGTCAAACCAATCTAGCATGTGAGTGATATACGATATACAACCCCTGAAATATGCTATAGCCCAAGAATGGAAAACTTCAAATGATAGGCCTATTGTTTCACACCCTACAAAATCCGGATATCACTAAAATCTTAATCCTAGGCACTCTAAATTGACAGATATGATTAATGATTCTGTCAACAAGTTCAACATTGACCTCCTCATCACCTTCTTTACATAGAGAGTGCATGACACATTTCGTGTGATATCTACCTATATCAGATTATATCTTATATCAATCTCATAAACACCCTGGTATTTTGAATCACTGAATTATATCAATGCTTATGGAAGAATTCCATTATATTGCAGCTGGTAATACAGCGCATTGGTGCTTGAACCTACTTCTACTCACGGGTGGATACGACCGTAGGTAAACTGTATTAAATCGCTAATATTCAGATATTAGTATTATTATTATTATTACATTACTAAAGTGTGTGTGAAAAAAATGAGAGAATCAAATAGTAGATCATGCTTTGCTTAGAACATAATTATGTTATGATATTATAACTAAAGAATGTTAATAAACATAATGATATATTTATAGATGTAATCACTATATGATAGAAACCAATATTTACTGATTATAATCTAAGTAGAGTAACAATAGTATACAGATAAAAGCACCCTTTTAATGAATGACTCACTTTGAAGTAACTACTGTATCTGAGACTAAACCTTGGCTATTATGCTTAATCATGGGGTTATAATGGGTACTCCATGCACATTCCTTGGGGGTACAAGTAAAGGTCATAATTAATCAGGTATGATAAGGCTAAAGTGGGCTAATGACCTCGGACAATGTTTGCATCATTGTATCATCAACTTGGTAAGAAAACCACTTTAGTAAAAGAATTTCCATAAGACAATTTATTGATAATAAATATTTTTGATGTAATTTTTAAACAGATGGTCACAAATTTAATTTAAAAAAATGCATTAAGCCTAAAATTCTAAAAGGAAGAAATAAAAGTATTACAAAGAGTTAAAGGGAGAAAAAAGTTTATGAATGTGATAAGAAGGATATAAGAAATGGATTGGGCAGTCATATAAAGAAGAATGGAAAGGATTAAAGGGTGGAAAAGATTATTGATGTTACACAGCCTGAAACGAAAGGAAACACATGGAAAATGAAAAGGAGAGCAGAAAATAGATCAAGGTGGAGGAACTACGGAGCGATTGCAACCATGACCGGGCTGAAACGCCAGAACGCTAATAATTATGTAAACCTGAATGACAACTTTGTGGGATTAGAACAAAGATAATATAGAATTTTATGTAGGTCTGTATATTATTACATATATATCTTGCTTATATGACATGTTTAATATAATTAGTGTAACCTATGACTTCCTTCTTGATAGTGTTAGGCAATGCCCATAGGAAACTAAATGATTAAATTAACATTAACATACCGTAATTCATGAATATTCATATTTCATATTTTGAAATTACTACTTGATTGATGGCAGCTGCGAAGGTTTGGGACAGCCTACTTCATCACAGTTACACGTCAGCTGAGATGCTTTCAAAATATATTATTATGATGTCTTTTACTTTTTAGTATGGGAAAATATCGGTTCAAATTTTGTGATATCAGGATATTTTCTCAACACTAAAGCCGTCGGACGGCACAATTCTATGGAGAACTCGACGCTATGACAAGCACAACGGATCCTTTTTACTGATGATCCATTCAGACTACCACCGACAATCAGCAGATGGCATTGTGTCATCTAGCACTCGTTGTACGATGCAGTAAGTGCCCGGCAAAGAAAATTCTAATCTCGTAATGAAACTTAGCATCATATTACTTCATATAGGTCCCTTTAATGTATGTCAGCTGACATCTACAAAAAGGTAAATGGTCATCCTCTATAATGTTTTAAAAATAAATAAATACATAATAGGCCTATATATATATTAATAAAATAAATAATACTGTCACAAAACTGTACATCAGTATTAAATATATTACGTACATATTTTTTTTGCAAATTCCTGCATGTTATGGTAATTCTAAAGATACCGGTACTTGCTTCAAGTACATATTTGTTCCAAGCATTATGGTTTCCGTAGTTACAACACCACTACAAGCAATACCTACTAAAAAAATTTGTCCTTAATGTTAGGCATAAATCATGCAAAAGCATATACTGATATTCAGTAAAATTTTGTCAAATTAATGTAAAGAAATAATGATAGGCTATATTCAAAGGTACAAATTTGAATAACATTTAAAAAGGTTATAGCTGCAAAGAACTGCTTATAAAAAACTTGCTGTAAAGCTCTCTTTCAAATTATAAATTTCTATTAATAGGTAACCTATCCGTTGGCTATTTAGGTAGAAGGATGTATCAAATTGCATAAACAGGAAAAATGTATGAAAAGTTACCATGCTCACTACAAGCCATATAAACACTTAAAAGAGAGCAATGAATTTCAAAAGGAACAGGCCTAGGCCTTCCAGGGGTTTACCATCTAAGAATAGGGGTTGCAGATTTGTGAAACCAAGTGACTTATTACTACATCATAAGATTAACAAAAGGAGAACTCTACAAGGAAATAAACCCCAAGCAAAAAATAACAACTTGAGGTGAACACCAATTATGAGACCATGGGAATAAAGAAGAAGGTGTTAATGGTCGGCATGTTTATTGTCACTTTGAATCAGGCGGTTTCAAACAGAAATCTTGGTAGGTATCATTGTGTTGTTAGGATCAATCAGGCTAACAAAATGCGGACACTTGAACCTACTATAGTTAGTGATGGCCGTAGAATATATATATACAGTATATTACAAGAAGAGCAAAGCCAGAGAGTGTGGAAGACAGAAGCCGGCCCGAACCCCAACTAAATTTTTGAAAACTGAAAAATAATTCAAGGATAAATCTAGAGGTGCCATATATATAATATTGGATATTTTTCAAATTGTTATTATTAAATCGTGTGAAGTGTGACATTGGTCACAGTTGGATTCTGATGAAATAAAATAAAAATAAAAAATACAATATTTAGTCACTCATATTACTGAGTGACTAAATCTATTAATAAAATGTCCAGTAGTTTTTGCAAGTATTGAATGAGAATGATTGGAAAGTACTATTAGCCGGCTGATGTAACCCAGATCCAATACTTAATACCGCAATGTAAATACGAAAGCTAGACACTGGTCTGCACGTGCTTACTGCACATGTACACAGCGGAATCAAAATATGACATCAACTTTACTTCCCGCCTGATAAACCTTCTTCTTTCAAAAGAATGAAATGCCCAGGAAATGGTCAAAGTAGTTATTGGCAGGGCTGAACCTATCCTACGATAAACTCAAGCTTGTTCCTTATGTCGCTGTTAATTTCACAAAGTAAAATATGATTTACGTATAGTAATCCCCTCTTGTTCGAGATACACTTTCTTGTAATTGTTTCATTTAGTGTACAGTGAATGTTCTACCTATGTAAATGTCATAAACATGATTTCCTCTGAATGATTTCTCAGTAGGCCTACATAGGCTAGGTACATATACTAAATTTTAATAAAAACATGACTTTTTTACTCATTTTTTGCACATTCAGCTCTCCCTGTGCACTGGCTGGCTGCAATCAACAGCAATTATGTGTATGTTATACTAACCGCACTGTTAATATACTTCATGATTAATTTCCTTTCCTTATCATTGATTTGTTTCTGTCTTTCATAATGCTGCAAAAAATTAGTCACATGACCTACAAATTTGGTCACCTGACCTATATGAATAATGGTCACATGACAAGAAAAAGCTCTCTAAATTTCCTTTTATAATATTGAAAAATACATAAAAATAAGAGGCATAAAAATAATGACAATCTTTAACATTTTGGAAGTCAATTGCTATATGGTAAGCAGAATTGCTTGTTTTCAAAATATTTCATCAACAGTGGCAGATTCAAGGGACCACCATAAATTTTTCAAAATTATAAGATATAAGTGGAGAAAAAAAAATATATTAAAATTTGTCCATTTTGGCCATCTAGAGGTGCTATAATCCTACTTTTTGCTAAGCCCCAACCGTGGTGGGGTTGAGGTGGATGGACAATCTATCCCTCCCTAGGCCCCATCTATTTCAAATTCCTGGATCCACCATTGATTTTAAAAAAGAATGTGTTGAATATATTTGAATTCTATTGCAAGTTTCTTATGAGCCTCTTGTCAACTCAATTGGTTCTGAAGTACATGGGACTTGATCTGTTGACCTTTTAAGTCTAAAATAATAAGTTCTTAATTGGTACACTTCACTTTGGTGAAATTGTCAATCCTCATCACTATCCTGAAGATCACTGGTCTGTACCATTGTAATATGATATTGCTAAGTGTGATTGTAAATATATTTCTAATAGGAGTGAAAATAAGCCAATTAAATGGACCAATAAATAAATAAACATATTAATTGAATCATCCATGAATTAGGGTGGGTTTCTTCGGTGTGAAACACACAAAAGCAAACCCGTAGCCAGAGGGGTTCGAAAGACCCCTCCCCCCTTTTCCAGAAATGCCTTTTCAAATTATTATTATTATTAAAAAAAGTACCATTTGCATGGAAGTTGTTAAAATTAATTCCAATAATTTGAAAATTTGGCATTTTTATTGCTAATTCCGGATATCTGAGGTGTTATAGGCTTATCTTTAAAATTTACCCCAGCCATGGTGGGTCTGAGGTGGGTAAGGACTCAAAAAGGCCTTTTGAGAAAAATTAGAATCCCCCTTTACAAATCCTGCCAACAGTTCAGTGGGATACCTCTGGTGGTGAATTGGGCATTTCAGTGTTTAACAATCCCCTTCACTTTTCCGTAGAGTGTGTACTATTGTGTTTTTCAACATGCACATGGGCCAAATTATTGCACACGGGACCAGTGGTCAAAACGTCTCTTCCAAAAGACAGCACACCATTGAATCTTGCATTTCAGCCAGGCAGATACTTTACAAAAGGGTTTTAAAACAATACTGCAATAACATTGTTTTTATATCATATTAATTATACACTTAAGTATCTATGCATTTTATAAAGAGAATGTGTGCAAGAAATTTTATTCAAAACTACTAGAAACTGAATTTCTTATATCTTTTCTTAAAAAAACATATGCTATATTTATTCAACACAGGCTAAAACCTCATTAGATATTAGACAGATAAATAAGGATGGTTATTTCAAAGTAATCTTTTTTTCTATTTGCGGTGTATTTATAATTGGTACAGTCAAAAGTAATTTTCAACTGTCACTTAAAAACTAAATTTACTTTGAGGAATCGTGGGAAATACGCATCAAAATGTATTCGGTATGCTTTCTGCTACTGTCAGATATTCTAGGCAGACAGCTGAAGTTATAGGGCTTAGCTCGGTTGTAACATTTTAGAAACGGGGAAAGGCAACGCTGCCATTCCACAGCCTGTAAGATCACCATGAGTCATGGAGAAATCCATCGCGCATGGTTTCTATATTTCAACAGTGCTCCCTGAAGAGCGAGTTTAATCCGTATGGAATTGTAAACCACTTCTATTAAATTCATTTCAAAATACTAAATCTATCAGGAAATTATTGTAGAAAGTTCTAGGATTTCTCCTCATTTCATGAGTAGACACCAACAGGAAAGTTACATGATTAAGAAAATGCGTTAATGTCAGCGTTCCTTCCCGTGGTTAATTTGAACGTATAAGATTAAGCGTAATTTACCTGTGGGAGTCTCACGTCGACAAATTAAATTGAATTACCTTTCTGATATTCTGTGATTATAATTTTAGTTTGTAATGTAAAAGGTAAGACCAGTCAAAACTTCACCAGTCTAAGGATTAATTCTATTACACTTGAAGCTTGCTGAACCCCTAAGCTGTTGTACTTTTTAACATAAGCCATGTTAACATATGTTTCTACATTGACTAATAATAACAGGCTATCATTTTGAAGAACAGATAACATATTTTCAACCCCCATGACATATTCTGCACTGGCCTACTAAAGGTTTATTAACATCTTTAAACTTTGTTATATTTGAAAGATAATTCCACAACATTCCATGTCTAAATTTTGTAGGTTCTACCCGTTGATGTGGTCGCATTTAGTAGAAGAATGTACCAGGAGAGGGCCTATCAGAGGCTCCATTAATTTCCTTTAATTATTATTTTTGAAGTTCGGATTTGTATGTGCAGCTGCCACATCAATGAAAGCATTTCATGTAGGCCTATTTGTTATTTTTCAGTCAAGCATTAACAAAGACTATAGGGGTGGTCAAAATATTCGCTGGAATAAATCCTAGTGTTTCAAACGTTAAAGTTGTACGTACCCAACTTTATTATAAGAGTATGCATACTTCTCCGTGGACGTTGAATTGCCTTTTTTTTTTCATTCTTGGTCAGATTCCACTTTTACAATGTTTAATGTAATTTAACTGTTCCCTGGTTTAATAGATAGGCCTAGCAATAATTATTCATGGATTGTTTGGCTTCTTTTTAGGTTTTCCAATCTGCCTCCTATTAAAATACAGATAAGAGTAAAAAGTTTAACAAAAAGAGATTCTATAGGTACATTATTATTATAAAACCTGTTACTATCTAAATTATGTAGAGCTAAAATTAATATTTGAATTAATATCATATGAAAATACTATAATTTTGGATCCAAATTTCCTATGGGAATAAACCAGTTTTAATGATTTTACTGGTCAACTTCGCTTTAGCATACGGCAATGTTCTTGTATGCGGTACGCGAACATCGATGCGAACTTCCATCTTATGATGATGCTCGATTCTGAACGCAATTGATTACTTGTCTTCTTAAGGGAATTTTATTTTAATTGAGGCCATTATTGAATGAATTAATGTGACGTTGTAATACAGGTGATATTACTGAGAAACCAACCCAAGGTAGAGCTAAACTCTCCCGGCCTGTACACCAAATGATGAGTAACGGCCAATGGGGAGGCACAAAAACTGCCTCATCACTGCTGTCAAAAATCACATCACGGAACAATGACACAAAAAAGGTCATACTAAAGACAAAAAAGTGGATAAAATTAATCATGTGTGAACCAGTGCTTTCAGGATGCCCAATCAACACCTGTGTAATAATAAGAAATAATCGGTAACAGCGATTGCTAGATAAATCGCTTGTAAAATATTTAAATGGAAGGAAGAGACTTCGTCGTGTATGTGACATACTGGTAATGAGAAAGATGATTCTCAAAATGTGCTATTATTTATCGGCTGACACAGCATAATGACTTGTTGTATTCTTGCCTAACTGTCATATTCACTTTATCACTCGCTTTGAACTTTCCGTGTCTGTGCCGTACGGAGCATGCTACTCCATGCTATTGTCCCAGGTTACTCCATTTAATCCCCAACAAAGCTTTCAAATGACACCATTATTTCACTAAAAGTTTTTTTGACAATAATTAAAAATTTTATTTTTAAAAATTCCTATGATATGGTAACCTTTTCATAAACAACCTGATACCTGATTTTATATTGCCTAAAGAATTACATAAATAAATTTAAAAACTAAATACCATAAACAAATAGAAAAAAATTAATTTTTAGAAAATTAATATTTTCTAAAAGTGCTAAAAGAAGTAAAGTCAAGTAATTTTGCCCCCAAGGCACAGGAAAGGGGTACCGGTAAGAAGGCAACACTATTTTTGGTTTTACCCATCCAGTATTATCTGCCG